AAAATTGTAAAGAAAATTCTTTTCACTGGACGTTCTATTCTTTTTTTGTGTTATTTTGTAAGTAGCGAAGATCATATTAAATCATAATAAGATTTATGTTGAAAGGCAATGATATTGTAAATGCAACGGTATTTAACTGTTACAGATCAACCAATAATTCGTTTGACATTATAAATTTTCTTCTTTGCAAAAAAATATAAAAGACAAAACTGGTGTAATATAAATTCTAATTAGTAATTTCGAAATTATTGTATAATTTTAGAGACTATCTGTAGCTCTTCTTCAATATTATTGTCGTAAGTTTTCAATTTTTTATCTAGAATATCTTAATAAAAAAGCTTGAAATTTTATAAAGATAAATTAGAAATGAATAAACCTATGATCGTTGAAGCATCTTAAATTCTCGACTTTTTCATTTAAATAAAACTGTTTTATATGTCTCCTCTTCGTCAATAGGTATATTACGTGTAGATTTGTGAGCAAAGCCACTGTTTTTCATATACGTAAGAAAAATACTCAGAAAAGAGAAAACAATTTCATTATACGACAATAAGAAGGATAGAGAAAGAAAAAAAAGAGACTACATACGGAAGGACGAAGGTGTACGTTGTCGCACGTGTTACGAGAAGTCTCGCACTGTAGGACTTCGTGACACGGACTGCAGAGGTTCGAGGGCAGGGTGAGACTTCCTTAATAAAATGGGGCGCAAACGCCACGCCAGCGAATATCTAGCTGATAGTAGTTTGGTCAGCTCAGCGTCCACATCGAAAATGCCGAGTGGAGGCTGAGGGGTGGCGCAGGCGGGGAACTGCCAAAACGGAATTCGTGGAAGGGTGACTGCTGCTTACGTTGATTCAATCTATCGTCACCCTCCTGCTGGCCGTTGACCTTTTCGACGTGTCTCAACGTTAGTGTTAGTGGATAAAAATTGTAAAATCAAAAGAAAAAGAAAAATTGCCAGCGATGATTCGAAAAATGAGGATCTTTTAATTAGAATTTACGGAGCTATTAAAGAAAGTAGAGGAAAGTCACCGATACTGACATAGGTCTTCTAAAGTGACATCTCCTTATTTCTTAGAAACTAACCTTTGCACCTTATTAATACTAATAAAAACGTGATCTGTTTAGCTAATTAAAGAAGTACAAACTCATAATTCATATATTTGTGACTTATTTCTATATCAAATCAGCTAAAAACAAATTCTATAAATCCGAGAAGAAAATTCTTACGGTGTTCTTTTGCAAATTGCGTAATTAAAATAATAGTGACTGTATTATTGATAATATTATGTCATTTTTAATGTTTATAGTTTCATAAATTAGTTTTCCTTACAGAATATGATATATATCTTTATTTATAGAATAGGAATGTTGGCATTATTGCCTACTATGTCAGTTTTGGAGCCCATTTTGTCAGACGCTCATTTTTGCATAACTTACGAAAAACTTAATTATTGCAAAATTGCAAACAGTATTATAAAAACTGCTTATACTATCTGATAGAAGACACTTTTTAATTTGTATTTATGTTTTTGAAGTTGTATTTTTACTTTTTATTTAAGAAATATTGTCTAAAAACAAAGTATGTCGGTATCGGTGATCTTCCTCTAATATTTACTTACAGTGACAGAATTCGCGTGAGAGAGAATTCTCATCGTTAATTTATTTAATATCAATTGTTTCTTAATGAAACGTTTAATAAATACGGTAAAAATATTAAAGAACTTTCTATAATATTTTAAATGTAGAGCATATTAAGTCTCTTTTTTAAAATTATTAATAAATACCAACAGTAAATAAAACATTATAATTATAAAATGCGATACGTATAACTGTGGATGCAATTAAAATATATTCCAAATTAATTATTCCTTTACAAATTAATATAACATGTAATACAATCAGAAAAATAGCGGAAAACCTCAGTCAATTGTTCATTGCGAAATTCTCGAACCCAGCTACGTAGGTATATGGCATACATTTAAAGCAAAAAAAAAGGTTAATCGCTCCGCACTACTTGATTTTTAATACTGATCATATAAAGATATATATACAATAATCAGGTGACACTCATTCATTTTGACACCACGTGCATCGCTCACATGCGGCAAGGTTCTCTCTCCTTACGTTAGGCCGTTGTGGAATGCAATAAACATATTCATAATTGGAGTAAAGGGTTAAACGCGCGCGGTGGTGGATACGGTTAGATCGGGCAAAGACGGAGGGTAAGAGATCGGAATAGAAGACCTTGTCACATTCCGTAAGCAAAGTGCACAGGCCGAGGAGAGCTATGTTGCGTGTGAAAAAAAGATATCACAAAAAATGCAAGGTCACTCACATTTTTTTTATTCAATTGAATTGCTTTGAGGGGCTAGAGGGAGAGGGAGAGAGAGAGAGAAAATAGGGGCAAAAGAGACAGATATAGAAGCAAAGGACGAAAAAGAGTTTCGTTATCGTTGGATAATACCCTCGCACTTTTTACGCAGGCAACGAAGGGGCTCGTGGCTCGAGAATTAATAAAAAGTTAGGCAAACTGTCGAGAGTTACGCTTATCACTCGGAATTAGATAATCTTCAAGTCGTTCGAAGGGATTTTTTGGTAAAGGAGTGAAGTCATGGACTGGCTTGCGCGATGATCTCTAAACACGTTAAAGTGCTTAAGAGAATTTTTCTTTGCAGGATTCCTTTATACATGAAAGTATTCTTAAGCAAAATAACGAAATTAAAATTTTATATAGACTTTTCGATAATAAATTAACAAAATATTTGAAAATTCATTAATATCAATTTATACGTCAAAAAATATGATTTTACAAAAAAATATTAGGTGCGTACAAGATACGTTGCTCCAAAAAATCGGCACGTGTCTTATTTAAAAGATCCATATCGAGAATCTCGAAGAATTTTGCTGTATAAAGTTGGTGAATAAGGACGAAACACCGGCCGGCCGGTACGCGGGCGTGCAGACGAGCAAGGATTTCCGTGCCATGCGCACGTCAGTCCGTCGTGTTCTCTCTCCAAAGACGCGTCGCTGTAGAAGAGGGAGGAAGGACGTGACGGCGAGCGTCGTAATTGAAAGAGGACACATTCAAGTCTGACGAAGATGGAACTAACGGAGAGAGACAAAACGCGCAGCATCTCCTGTAGGATTCGTCGCTTGTCGAGAGTGAGCGAGGAGAACGAGTAAAGCCAGAGGAAGAGAACAGCCAAACACTCGTGGGAAGGAACGAAGGAAGAGGGAGGACGAAAGCCAGGAGGGGTAAGGAGCTCTCAAATTTGGTTGGTTGTCGCTTTCCACCGTTTTGTCGTGCGTGCCTATCCCTCTTCAGGCGAGAATCGGAGAAGATCGACTGTAGTCGAAGGTAGTGGGGTTGGTACATCCAGGAGGGACAGGAGTAAGCAAGCAAAAGAGAAGAAGGCAGAAGAGAGACAGACTCGTGTTTCGGCCAAGTATTTGGACGAGACAGGAGGGAGAAGTTTAAGCGAGAGGAAGAAAGAGAAACTGAGATAGAGCGAGATAAAAACATAACGGAGAAAGCAAGAAGGACGAGAGTTCTTCCAATGAAGGAAGCGTGATGGAACGATGAAGCCTTCGTGAGAGAAAGAGAAAGTTTTAACGTTAGACGAAGAAAGATATGATTCGCCTATGTGTTGGAGAAAGGAGAAAGACATTCAAGAGAACGGTAGAATGAGTGGAAGAGAGATGATTATAGAGAACGAGGGGAAATGTGTGGAAGTCTGAGAGAGAGAATTCGAAGAGTCGGCAAGTGACGACGAAGAGGGGGTGGCGAGTATTGGCGAAGGAAGCAGTGTGGGGCGGAACACGGCGAGGGAGGGATGAGGGGAGGAGAATGGTGCCTTGGCGCGCGAGGTCTCGAAACTATAGAATTCCAACCAGAACAGACTAGTGTCGGCGTTCATACGATACGGTTCTACGATAGTAGTGAGCAAGTGTAAATCCGAGAAGAGTGAGAGAAAGAGAAGAAGAGTAGAAAAGGGGAAGAAAATGAAAGATGTAGGAAAGTGGGGGAGACTGAACAGAGGGGTGACGGAAGGTTGAAGTGGTTGCGTCTCATTGTGTTTGCGGCTTCAGTTCTATCGTTCTCGCAGTACCGGAATACGTGACATCAGGTAATCACTTTTCAGACACCCACGATCAATTGTGAACAGAGACTCCGAGTAAGCTATTACATACGAGAAGTAGACATTGCAGATTGTAATAAACAAAGTGTAAAGTGAACTGCGCTCGTGACAGTTTTCAAAATAAAGATCGTCGGGAGTTTAAAGCACGTTTTCCTTTGGAAATTCGAATTCTTTTTTCGGAACCGTGTGACCGTCTCATCAAACGAAGGTGACCTTGCTCCGAATCGTAGAATGCAGATACAAAGGCCGCTGCCGTGCTACTCGATATGTAAATCATGAGCGATACGCGCGTTCGCTTTTATTTTGTTTTGTTCGTTCGGGCGCCGAGTTAACCGGCATCATTCGAATCTCGTTATTGAAAGCCGCGTCCCCGGCATTAAGGTGGGAGTTAGCAAGTGATACCGTCTCGCTGTCGTCGACGTCGTCGTCGACACGTCGTCTAGCCGAGGCCGACAATGCCGCATGCGGTGATCGCAATTTTTCGAGCGACATTGAGATGGAAATTCGCGTTTAGAGTCAGTGCAGTCATATGATAAATGTAGAACACGCTGTATCCCCGGTTTCTTTTTGTTTTCTCCTTCCTTCTCTTTTTTTTGTTTGATCCTCTCCCCCATCTATCCCTACCCATTACTGCCGACTCAGCTGTCAGTCAAATCACAAGGCATGTTGTTTCGCTCCTACTGAGACTGAATCCATACATGTGACACTCACGGTGCCGCTTCGCGTTATCATCGTCGTGCCCATATATTTCATGTGATTCTATCGCGTCACGAAACGCAATTCAGGAGGTGGCAAGGTGAAACAATCGAAAACAGAAAGAAAGGGAAAGGAAGATTGCCTTACTTGCGCGCGCGCATACAGGCGCATGTCAGGTACTCATGTATATTTCGTCCGGTTTCATTTTGTTCGTGTTGTGCATAAACTACTGTTTAATCGCGTGTATCAAGAATAAACGACGATTGAAGTGCGTGACTTGACGATCGAGACGAAGGGAAAGGACAATATGAGTGAGATGACGAGTGCCGTTGAAACGCAGCAACAACAGCAACAGTACGTAGGCGGTAGTTCGAATGCGGAGCATCACTGCAAGGATTGCGGTCTAAACTTCGAGAGCGAGAAGAGCCTGGAGGTGCATCTGCGTTATCATCAAGAAAATTTATTAAATCAATGGGCCAATAAGACACAGCAGGAAGAGAGCAATAATAACCATAGCAAGACTGGTAATCATAATAGTCACGTGAGCCGGGACAACGTGCCGGCGGACACAAGTGAACCATCATCGATGTCGCCCTCTCAAGATTTAACATCCTCGCAACAAACACAGCAGCAGCAGCAATCACAACCTCAGCAACAGTCTGCTATACTTATATGTTCGCCGTACGATTTTCGAACTCCAATGTATGGCGAGGGCAGCTACTTCATGCAGAACGATCAAAGTTTCGTCTTGCCTCATCATTTTTCGCCATCACAGGAAGACGGCCAGAATAACAGCAATCGCGATGGTGGTTATCGCTATCATCCGTATCAACATCAGCAATTATATCCCTCAGATCGCACGACTTCTAACTCTACCAGTCCGCAAAGCCCGCCTTTTCACTGTGACAAGTGCGGCGCAGTGTATGAGGACACGAATCAATTAGGTGAGCACATGAGAACGAATCATTTGGACTCGCCTACCGCGTATCCATCCGCTCCTCAGTATCAGCAACTGGGCAATAGTCCTCAACAGCAAGGCCAGCAGATGCACTCGTCGCCACCTCTCTCGAATCAACCGCAACAATCTGGTTACGATTATAACGGGGGACAGACGATCAAGTCCGAGATGAAGCAGGAACAGCCTGAAGAGCAAGCTGAGATCCTTGATTTGGATTCTCATAAGGTACACAGAGGAGGATACGAAGAGGAGATAATGAGATTGCAGCAGCAGCAGCAACAACAGCAGCAACAGCAGCAACAACAAGGACTTCAGATGCAGATGCATCATCAACAGGTGATGCAACAACAACAGTCGCAGAGAATAGAATCGCTTTCGGTAAGTTCTATGTTGAACTGGCAAACTATGACTCATGATTATGCTGGACACCCGACAATGGGTTCCATAAACAATGTTCCACCTATCGCTGATCAGGATCAATACATGCGCGGTCAACATATGCCTGTGGAGCATGGGCATCAGGGTTCACCGATACTCACGAGCACGCAACCGATACCGAGTCATCAGATATCGGCTGGTTTCGTGCAGCAAACACCGAAAGCGCCGCCGTTGGCGAATCAATCTTGGAAAAGCAACGAGCCACGCCGTCCAAAAACATACAATTGCACTGCGTGCAACAAGTGGTTTACAAGTTCAGGGCATCTGAAGAGACATTACAACACTACGCTCCACAAGAATGCTGTCAAGAATGGAAAGGAACCTGATCCAGCAACTCTACCGGTCACCACTCATCATCATCCCAATAGAGAGAATAGCGCTGGTCACTCAACGAGCGGTAGGGGCGGTTGCGCTCCCTCGCGATCTCCACCGGACTCTTCGCGGAGTCCCCCAAACTTGATGGCAGGTCCCTCGGGCGAGGCGACGGGGGGCCTGCTTCACACGCCCACCACGCTCTGCAACAACAATTCCAGCAGCAACAGCAGCAGCGAATCTTTAGCGGTCCTGGTGCAGCAGCAGCAGCCGCAATTGATCCCTCTAGGAATAATCAATACCCCGGTGTCATCGGCGAGGCACCATCAGCAACAAATGGGTACTGCGCCTCACCAACTGGGCCTCCAGCAGCAGCAGCAACTTCACCTGCCAACGGGTTCGTCGGGCCAGCCGGTGCATCATTCCACGACTTCGCCCACCATGCCCCCACCGGCGGCATCGCACATGAATTGCCCTTCACCAATGGATTCATCATCCCACCCGGTTCATCACATGAACTCGCCGCCCGGCTCGGGCCATCCAGCAATGACTTCGTCCACGGTGATGGGGGGTACTACGATGCCTCCTCAGCCGTACCCAAACGCCTTGCCCCCCCACGTTACAATTACTACCAACATCCCGGCGGTCCCACTGGAATCTACCCAAGCACATACCACCATACAGCTAGTTACTATTGGTAACGACCAAAACAAGCAGTCACTACGTCGCTTGTTGCCCGGTTTTAATACCATCATGCCGAATTTCTCGGAATTTGAATTCGTCGTAGATCAAAGCCAGACACAGACCGTTAACGTGGGGGGGCTAAATGTGGAGGAGATCGCTCCTCAAGAGTCCTTCGAAGCTTCAACATCGACTTATGACCCATACTCGCCAACGCGTTACAAGTCGTTAAATAATATAGACATGACGATGTTGCAAACAAATGAAAGCAATATGATGCAGCAAGATCAATCAGATATAGAAATTATGAGATATGAATTCGAACGAAAAATTGATATGCAGAATAACAATCATCTAACGCAGGTAAGACAAGCAAAAGAGGATTTGGATCCAAATATCGGCTTGCAGTTAAAGAAAGAGCGTAAAAGCAAAGGTAATACAAATAAGCAAAATGTCACCACCATCAGTAGTAGTCATTATATCTCGCAAGACGGCGTCTACAAGTGTCTCGAATGCAATAAGAATTTCAACAAGCCCTGCTATTTGACACAGCACAACAAGAGCTTTCATTCGGGCATTAGACCGTTTAAATGCCAGCAGTGCGGCAAACGGTTTTCAAACGAAGAGAGAAACAAAAAGCATTCGGAAATGCACGCGTTGGCCAGAAAACATCAATGCGACACGTGCCCAAAGGTGTTCGCTCATAAAACTGATCTTAAACGGCACATTTGCATCCACACTGGTACAAGGCCGTTTAAATGTGATACTTGCGGCAAGGGATTCATCAGACACGATCACATGAGGAAACATAAGGAAACACATAACAAAAAAACGCGGGTAAACAATCAACGGCAAGCCGCTCAGCGACTCAGTAATTCACGATACAATGCTCAACGAGGCAACGCTCAACGGCCCAACAATGTTCAACGGGTCAACGTTCAACGGTTGCAATTCAGTATCAACTGCATGAAGTTATAAAGACATGTCCTTGGGATGTCTACGTTCGATTGGATTGTCGGATGCGCAACCTCGAGATCGTCCTAATAACAAAACGCGAGGTAAGATTCCTTGCCGGTCAACGGACATTGTTTTTCTATCGACGGTTTCGCAATTTCTACTTTTTCTGTTATTTTTTAATTGGAAATTCAATTCTACGCGTATAATAATCGCTAAATTAATTAATTAATGATTACTTTTACGCTTATTGTAATTTATGATAAACTAGTATAATGATAATCTCAGTAAAATAAAATTCGATGATGATTTATCGGGAATGGCTTTTCCTCATCATGTACGTGTCTTGTAAGAACAAAACTCTT